TCCCTAGGGTTTCTGAGACTGTCAGTCTTTATGGAAGCCTCGTCTTTCTCCCTTGAAGCAGCTGGTCACTTCAAACTGCCGACCTTTCGGATTAGCAGAACAGCACTGAACCCACTGCACCAAACCTTTGATGTTGGTGTTGTTATGTGCCATGCAGTGTGAAATCAGCTCAATTTATACAAACACCCTTCCTGTTTTTTCCCCCTAAAATCTCCACAGAGTCCTGGGGATTCAATAGAAAGCACTGGGCGGTTGGCAGTGCCACAGGACTGTTTATTGCTGGAAGATCCACCCCACTGCAGCACCCACTGCAGTTACTCCCCCTCTGGCCACTCCTGCCCACCTCCCCCTGACACACACACTTCTCCCACCTGTCCTGGAATCCACAGAAAAACAAGAAAACAAGAACAATGGAAAAGGAAAACAGCCCAGATACAAAGCTTGCCTTCAGGTAGGAGACCCTGTAGGTGCCATACCTGCAGAGCTCCCCGAAACCTCGCCCACCTTGCTGTCTACAGCATCTTCTCTCCCAAGGGGGCAGCTACCACCCCTTCCCATCAGCCTCAGAGGATCCAATCCCTAATTCACAAACTCGTGACACTCTTCGGGGGGCCTTCCACACTTGACCCATCTCAAGAGTCCCGAACCAGGACCAGTGCTGGTATTGGTACCCTATTGTCATCCCATGAAGATCTTCTGCTAACTGTGTCTCCACTGGCTCAGTCTGTCCATCCTGACATCTGTCCAGTCCTGGGTTCCTGATACCTGGGCACAGAGTAAAGAGTGTCCTCAAATGCTCAGGAGGCTGGAATGTTTGTCATCATAGAGGTCCTGGGAGTCTGGGGAACCCCAAGTTCCCATTACTGGGCTCTGCTGACCAGAACCCAAAGTTCCTGGTCATGGTGCCACACGCAGAAGCAGCTGAAAGGTGAGTCCCAGCATCCAGGATGAGGCAGCGGATCACTGGGCCACTCCGTGTCCACTCATGGGAGGGAGCTCAGTGTGAAGCTACAGAGCCATAAAAGGACTCCATGGGACCGCCCACGGCCACCCTCTGGTCCCAGGGATGACAATCCAATGTAGCACCCTCAGCCAACAGGCAGGCACAGGCGAGCTGCTCACGTGGACAAGAATCTGTCCCTGCACCGGCTTCCCAGAGCCAGCCGACCAGGCCTCCCGGACGGAGCCAGCCTTGACCATCCCCACACAGCTCTGGGACCAGAAGAGCCGCCTTGGGGTCCATATTCATTTCAGCTCCATTTTAAAAGCGAGTTAAAATAAACACGGGGAATATTTATAAGGCAAATAAATCTGGCAGAAACAGCCCCTCCAAGTGTGAGCGGCAGCCTCCCCCTCAGCCCCAGCCCAAGCTGATAAAATACAGAAATGCTACTATAGACCCTGCAGGCTTATTTTGACTACAGCTGAGGAATGTAACATGTAAACACTGACTCCCATGTTACACTGTTACAACTTGCATTAACAGCACCGGACAAAAGCGGTATTTTCACAGAAGCATCGTACAGGGATATATCTCCAGCTTAATTTTGTAAAAAAACCCCATTTCCTCACATAAATCATGCTCAAAACGAAACGGGTGACTGATACATTGCAAACGTCCCCCCCCCCCACTTAAACAATAACATACCTAGATTCCTTCTCAAAGTAAGAGCTTTAAAAAAAAAAAAAAACCTTTAAAAATTTTTTTCTGAAGTAAATAAACACTACTGTTTCTTTGCTGACTAAAATATCTGGGGTTGTGTCTTCACAGCCGCGTATAGGCTCTCGGAGGAACAGGACTGTGCCCAGGCTTGAACCCACTGTGCCCTGGGTGTCCCTTCGAGACAGCCCCCAAGCAGACGCCAGCATCAGCAGGTAAAGGAAGGAACCAGCGGGAGCCCAGAACCTTCTACGGGTTGGAGATGCTGCTTTTAGGGTATCACAGAGAAAGAGCCCGAAAGCATAGTAATACAGATAGGGATGAAGTGGGAAGGAAACGCGGGGAACAGGACACAGGACATGCTGCACTTGGGGGCAGCACCAGGAGCCAAATGGTGAGGCTGTGTCCATCTCAATTCCAGACGTCTGCAGGAAGAGGCCGGACATCAATGGAGCAAAAATGAAGACGAGAAGATTGACGCACAGGCGCCAAACCCACATGAGCAGCACAAGTGGGGCACACGTGCGAGGGGACTGGAGGCCAGTCTTGGAGCCTGGAATAGGAACGTGGCTTCCTGACCGGTCAGTGGGTCGGGGACAAGCATACCCATATCACAGACTAAGACAAAATCGGCCTGTGGCAGCTCTGGAAGAAAATATGGCAGTTTGCTAAAAATAATCTTGTTACCTTTCTGAATTCATACTACCTCTAAAAGTCATTAAGTGCAAAAAGAATTTGTGGTTGTTAAGTGCCGCTGAGTCAATTCTGACTCACGATGACTCTGTATAGGGTTTCTGAAGAGCAGCTGGTGGGTTTGAACTACAAACCTTGTGGTAAGCTTGTGGTTATCAGTCCAGTGCTTATCCTAACGCACCACACCAAGACAGGTTTTATTAAAAAAAAAAGAAGAAGAAAGAAAAAGCATGGCACATGGCAGGCCATCGTGAACCAAGTTAGAAGCTGAGATACTGTGCAGCATAAAGGACCCAGGAGCACACTGGTACCCCCACAAACCTCTTGAGGAGCAATGAGAGGAGCGCTGTTGTTGTTTGTCACCATGGAGACCCCATGCATGCAGAGTAAAACTGCTCCATAAAGTTTTCAAGGCTGTGACCTTTCAGAAGTAGATCACCCGGTCTTACTTCCAAGGCCCTTCTGAGTGGGTTTAAACCACGCTTAACTATTTGTATTACCCAGGGACTCCCAAGAAAAGGAAAAGGTAAAAAAGCTGACAATTCATGCACATACACCAGCAAACCAAAGGCCATCGAGTCCAGCCCAACTCACAGAGATTCTACAGGACAGAGGAGAACTGCTCCCCTAGGGTTTCCAAGGCTGCCAATCTACAGAAGCAGACTGTCTCATCTTTCTCCCACAGGGCAGGTGGTGGGGTAGAACCACCAACTTTTCCATTAGCAGCCCTGCACTTAACCTGTGGTGTTACCAGGACTCCGCATCCCATACATACTCACAAACACCAGAGACAGACCCACACATTCATGCGCACACACACAACAGACACACTCACATGCCCACACTCAGACACAACATATTCACAGACATATACTATCACAAACACACAGAGACACACTTGATTTTAAGCGTCCAGAGTCCTGGTGTGGTTCTGTGGATTAATGCACTGGACTGCAAGGTCATTTGAACCACCAGGTCGGCAGTTTAAGTTCACCAGCCACTCCTTGGAAACCCTACACAAGGTTGCTATGAGTCAACACTGACTCAACAGCACTTAACAACAATAACAACAAACATATAAAAAGCTGCTTACACTAACTAATAACAGGAAGTGTAGATAAAATAAGATTATCAGAGATTTTAAAAACCAGTACCCAGAAATGATGGCATAAAGAAAAAAAAAAAAAAAAGCTAAGTGTGTCAACACAATAAAAGTCAGGATGCAGGCATGAAAATAACAAATCAACAGGCAAAACAAAACCTGGGAAAACCCACGGAAGGTGATGGGTACATGGGTGCAGACCAGCTCAAGCCCAAGGTCCAAGGTGGTCGTGGGCAAGGACAAGGACCTGCTACAGGCAAGTAGGCGTGCTCTCGGGAAGAATGGGCACCGCAGGGGGAGGCAACGTGCCTTTCCACGTGTTCCTTTATAAAGAGCTGGTGCCGAATGTGTGGACAGAGGTGGGGTCGGCAAACCTGTCCACGTGTCAGATGTGAGAAGCAGCACAATCCGACCAGCCGTGCTCGCGAGAAAGATTTACAGCCTAGAAAGGATTGAATGGACCCGATAGCAGTGACTTGGGGGGGTCCTCGGTAATGTAAAGGTACAGTGAGCTACACGACGTCTATGCTAGGGTCTTGAAACCTGACAAGGAACCAAAGGGTAGCGGGAAGTGTGTGACTATGACGAGTACAAGCAAAGCACGTGATACACATGCATGTGCACACACACTCCAACTCACACACACACACACACACACACACACACGTTCCTGTTATCTCCAAAATGACACTCACTACCCCATAAACAGTCTTATACACACACACATTTGCACACACGACATACACATGCTCCCACTTCCTCTTACACGACACCCATGCACACTCCCCCCACATGCATACATACACATACACCCCTGCACAGAAACACACACACACAGGCACACACACACATTTGCCTCTGTGCACACTTTTCCACTGGTATTTTCTGGAAGGTAAGGCCCAGATTACGCAAGGCTCCATGATGACCAAGCCTCTGCTGCTCTCTGGTGGCCTCCCTGGTCACTACAAGATGAAGTCCCTAAAGCACCCAGAGGCAGGCGTGCCCTGGCAGTAACAGCCCGCTCCAGTGGTGGTGGGGAAGTAGGGGGATACAGGAAATTCACTTAGTACATTCCTGTTTGCTCTGTGTACCACGACCCATACCTGTAGTTCCTGCCCCCACACCGGGCTGTGGTTTCCAAGACCTTTGGATTTTTTGCTAGATTTTAGGGAAGCCCACATGTGAACCAAGAGACAGTGAGGACATATTAGATGGCAGCCAGTGGAGGGGCTGAGGGCTTTCCCCAGGGACCTGGCCTTGCTTTTCCCCTCAACACCTCCCTAATGTCCACAACAGGACCACTGTGACCCTGTGACTCGTGGAACCCTGCTGGAAAACCACTGCTCTAGACATAGAACTCACACTGTCATATCCAAGACAGTCACAGTGCACCCACAGCCCCACAGAGGGGACAGGACATGGGCTTTCTTTTTTATAAATAAAAGGGAATGAATGTGCCAGAGTAAGAGGACCAATGTGGGATCTCTGCACCCTCAGAGTCCCTCTAGGGACAAAGGCACCCATGCCCGCACACCTAAGCCTTACGTTTTTCCAGGGGACTCCTTCATCCAGAATATGTCATCGCTTGTAATCCCATACTCCAAAGCACCTTCAACCTACCAAGAGACAAGGATTGATGTAAGAGGAGTTGTCTGGTCTGCTCTGGGGACTTGCTCAGAGAGGCTGCCTGCTTGCACACACAGCCCCAGCATAAGTACCCAAACTGACTTGAAGCTTCTGTGGGGACAGAGGTTGGCTTGTCTGGCCCTGACTCAGATCACCATCTGCCTGGCTCCCAAAGCTGCGTCCTCCAGGTGGGTGCAACAGGCAGGGAGGATCTTTCTTCTCTCTCTGGGATTTCCCCGATTCAGATCCTGGGCATGCACCTGGGGTGGGCATGGGAGCTGCAGAGTCCCCACAGAGTTGTCTCCCATAAGTCTGTCCTGGGTGCTTGGGAAAGGAAGAGATGGGAGGGGTGCTTCTGCCAGCAGGGACACTGCAGTGTCTGTAATGGCAGTGGAGCTGCCCGGCCAACAGGGAGAGTCCTAGCCACAGAGGTAGGAGGGCTACATGAAGGGGAGATGTGGGTCAAAGCAGGATGCTGGGCCTCTCAGGATCAGGGCTGGAGGGCAGGAGAGACTGAGGAGCAGGATATGACCAGGGCTCATGTCCAAGGGGCAAGGCTGATGCTGGACCACCAGGCCCCTTCAGAAGGGCTCTATGCCCCAGGAATCATTACAAATCACCCCAGATCCTGGTGGGAGCCTGTCCCCAGGTGACCTGAGGAAGGGCAGCTGTGCATTTGGGAGATACATGAGCAAGGACCCCTCTTCCTGGTTGGTGAGAGTAAGATGTGCTCAAATAGAGGAAACAGATTTCACACAGTTTATAATTCCAACTGGCAACAAACTAAATAAATAAAGTCTGGAATTTCTGGGGTTTGCTCAAGGAAAACAGAAAGGTCTGTAAAATCCAATGGGACTCCCGGCTACCATTAACAACAGCTCTGAAAGAGATCACTTTAGAAGGTCCTGGATAGAGCAGAAGAAAAATGTAGAACAAAATTCAAAATCACAAAAAAGACCAGGCTTACTGGTCAGATAGAGACTGGTGGAACCCCTGAGACTGGCCCTTAGTCACCCTTCAGGTCTGGAAATGAACTGACCCCCATGGCTCAATTTTCAGCCAAATAATAGTCTATAAGGGGAACAGGAACCCTTTGAATAATCAACCATTTGAGCTCAAAAGAGCAGCACTGACCCAAGGACAAAGTTCCCTCAGGGTTAAAAAAGAAGAAGGAAACAGGAAATGCAGGGAGGAAATGGGACAAGTGATATTACACTGTGAGCTTACTATCAATGAGATGAAACTAAATGAATCTGAATTATTGAATGGAAAACTGATCTGCTCTGTAAACCTTCACCAAAAAAAAAAAAAAAAAAAAAAAAAAAAAAAAAAAAAAACCTTAATGAAAAAAAAAAAAAAAAAAAAAAGGATTACACAGTATCATATGACCTAGCAATTCCACTCCCCACCTTGGTCTACAATGAAATATACTCAAGAGAAATAAAACAAGTGTCCACACAAAAAAGGTAGCAGTGATGTTTAGAGCAGCACTATTCATGATAGCCAAGATGGGGAAGAAAATGTCCCTCTGCTGATAAACAGATCAATAATGTGGTCTAGACAAACAACAGGAGCTCTGGTGGTGCTGTGGGTTAAACATTGGGCTGTTAACCTAAAGGTCACAGATTCAAATCCATCAGCTGTTCAGTGGGAGAAAGACGAGGCATTCTGCTTGTGTAAAGATTGACAGCCTCGGAAACCCTATGGAGCGGTTCTACTTTGCCCTATTGGGTCTCTGGGAGTCAGAATGGACTTGACGGCAGTAGGTGGGTAACCATAAGATGAAATACTATTCAGCCATGAAAAGTAATGAAGTAGTGATACATGCTACAACATGGATGAACCTGGAAAACAAGCTTCAAAGTAAAAGAAACCAGACAGAAAAGACCTTATATTGTATGATTCCACATAGGAAACATCCAGAATAGAAATATTTAGAGACAGAAAATATGCAACTAGCCACTGTTTACCAGAGGCTGGTGGGAAAGGGGAGTGGGGAGTTACCACTGACAGGAATGCCCACTGCCTCTGAGTTGGTTGCGGCTCACAACCAACTGTTCCCTAGAGTTTCTGAACCTGAAAAAGTTTATGGGAATAGATAGTATCATCCTTCTCCTCTGGAGTGGCTGGTAGGTTCAAACCACTGACCTTTAATGAGCAGCCCAACACTTAACCCACTGTACCACCAGGACTCCTATTGATGGGTGTAGGATTTCTTTTTAGGGTGATGGAAATGGGATGAGACTGCAGTGACTGGTGGTTGTACAGTCTGTAAGTTACATCTCCACAGAGCAGAGGCACGCGGCAGTCAGGGCTATGGTATAGGTAACATAAGCATCATGCACCAGGTGAGCCTGTATGGGGGACACTCACATGCATGGGGTACTTTGGCCGTCCTCCAGTAGCGATGACTATGTGGTCAGCCGAAAGCAGAGTCTAAGAATAACCAAAGAAAGCTGTGGGTCAAACAGGTACACCGTGGTTCCCCACCTAGGGGGTCAAGTGCCCATAGGTGCCCTGGCAGCAGGTCCCTGCCCTATAGTATGGCCCCTCCAGTCAGTGACACAGAGGCCCATGATGCTGGCATGCCAGTTAAAGTTCAGCTGAACGGGAGGCAGGCAGGAAGGAGAGGACAAAGAGACACAGTCTTACTCTAAGTACTTCATGGTTTACAAAGTGCTGGCAGGCTTCTCCTCACATGCCCACAAAACCCTGTACAGAGGGTGTGATCCTCTGCTCTTTAGAACCACACTGCAACAGGGCAGCCGGGAAAGGTGAGCGTCACTTGCTCGTTGTTATTGTGGGTTGCCGACAAGTGGATTCTCACTCATGGTAATCCTATGCATGCAGAGTAGAACTGCTCCACAGGGGTTTCTGCTTCTGGGACCTTCCAGAAGCAGATCGCCAGGGTGCCTTGGGGTAGACTGGACTAGTAGTTGAGTCGAATGCTTAATCGTTTGTGCCCCCCAGGGTCCCCAGTGAGCGTGATACATGAGCTGCTTCTAAGGAATCTGCCTCTAGTTCCAATAGCTGGGGAGGCTTGGGACTGCAGAGACGGGAGCGGCGTGGGCATCAGACACTTACCTTCTTATCTGCTTTTGTGACGCCGCACACCGTGTGCTCATTGACAAAGCTGGCTTTGATGTTGAGGTACTTGACTTTTCTGCAAAATAAAAATAAGATGCTACAATAAAAAGTAAAACAAACAAGAAAACAGTCTCTGGTAGTAAGTAGCTAGTGGCATCTCTTGTAGAAATGTATTTTAGGGTATTTGGCACAATTATTTTATGAGTATTACAAAATAATGTAATACTCATAAAATAAAAGGGAAATAATATGTAATATTTCTAGATCAGTAAAAAAACAAGATGCTAAAACCATCACTCAATTCTTAAAAAAAAGTTTTAAAAGAAAAAAAAACAAGATGCTCACATACATGCTCTGAGCAGGCCCACCAGCAGGGCCAGAGTCCCGTGGGAAGTGTGGAGGGGAGGCAGGAGCACCTCACCCATATGCCCTAGAGTTCCCTGGGCCACAGGACCACAGGTGCCAGGGCAGAGCCACAGTCCTCAGGGCGCAGGTGCAAATGGGAGAGGAGGAGGGACCTCCTGGAGAACTAGGCCTCATTGTTCAGCACTGTCTGCTAGGGAGTAGGGGCCCAGAACACCAGTCACCCTGCAGCCCAAATAACCAGCTTTCCATCAGCTTCCTACTAGGCAGACATCCATCCCCTGCCTTCAGGGACACCATGAGGCCAGGACCACTGTGACCCCACAGTGCCTAATGACAGAATGATGGAGACCAGGCTGTGGGGATGTGCCCTGGTTGCTCCCTGCACCCCACAGCCCATCATCCTCACCACTTCCAGCCTTGCAGCCTCTACCCTGACTCTGAAGCTGGGTAATGATGCTGGGGGATGCAGAGTTACTTTGTAGCCCTCGATGTCAAAGGCGTGTGAGTGTGATCGGCCATCGAGACCTGCCAGAGCCGATGTCTTCAGGAAGCCACACAAGACGGATCATCCCAAGGGCCCAGAGCTCCCCAGGAGGAGAAACTCAGATTCCTCAGTCCCAGTGGGGTAGGCACAGGCAACCAGCTCCCTTCTCAGGTTTTACCCACCTTGTTGAGTGGATCCCAACTCTTGTGGACTCTATAGGACAGAATAGAACTGCCCCATAGGGTTTCTAAGACGAATCTTTACAGAATGGAGTCTTATTGTGGCACTCACCAGCCATTCCTTGGAAACCCTATACAGGGTTACTATGAGTTGGAACTGACTTGAAAGTACTTAACAACAATCTTTACAGAAGCAGACTGCCACATTTTTCTCCCACAAAACAGCTGGTAGGTTCAAGCTGTCAACTTTCATGTTAGCAGCCAAACCAAACCTAAACTCCCAAACCCAAACCCAACCCACTGCCCTCGAGTTCATTGTGACTCATCACGGCCCTAAAGGACAGAGTAGAAGTGCTTTACTCTGAGATTGTCAGTCTTTATAGGAGCAGACTCCTGCAAAGCAGCTGGCCCTTGGGTCCCCAGAACCAGTCATTGCTCTGGGTCTCCCAGCCAGACCCACCCCTCGGTGTAGCCCCAGTGGACCTCAGGGCCATACCTGTCCTGTAGCTGAACTCGGTGCCCCCAGTTCAAGGATTTGATGTAGTTCTGAACAGCTTCTGCCATTTTCTTCCTGATAAGACATTATACAAAATAGGAAAAGTCACTACAGAAATGTGAGCTACAGAGTTCTATGACAAATTTGTTGTTGTCATATGTTGTTGAGTCTGTTCTGACGCCTGGCGACCTCGTGTAACAAAGTAGAACTGTCCTTAGTGTCTTCTAGGCTGTGATCTTTAAAGGACGCAGATTGTCAGGTCTGGAACCATTGGGTGGGTTCTAATGACCAACCTTTTGGTTAGCAGAGAGTACTTAAACATTGCATCACCAGGGCTTCTTCCATAACAAACTATTAGATGCAAATATCAAGAAACGAAGGTGCTTTAATTCCACAGTTCGAGCCCATCCGCCACTCTGAGAAAGAAAGATGAGGCTTTCTGCTCCTGTGAAGATTTAAAGGGCAGAAAACATTATACAGGGTGACCATGAGTCGGAACTGGCTCAACGGCACTTAAAAATCACAATAGAAGTAAGAGGGGGCTGCAAAAAGTTTGTGGAATGACCCTGAGACCAGAAAAACTAGATGGTGCCCAGCTACCATGACCAATTGCTCTGAAAAGGATTACGTTAGAAGGTCTTAGAATAGAGTGGAAGAAAATGTGAGACAAAACTCAAAATCATAAAAAAAAAAAAAAAAAAAAAAAGACAAGGCTTACTGGTCAGAGAGAGCTTAGAGACTATGACCCTTAGGCACCCTTCAGGTCTGGAAGGGAACTCACCCCCGTGGCTCATTTTCAGCTAAACAATATGGGGAACAACAACACTAAGGAGGTTGTTGTTGTTTTTAAGTGCCATTGAGTTGGTTCCAACCCATAGAGATCCTGTATAGGGTTTCCAAGGAATACCTGGTAAGCTTGAACCACTGACCTTCTGGTTTAAATGACTTTGCAATTCAGCGCATTAACCCACAGCACCACACCAGGACTCCAAGATTTTAGTTTGCGGCTTCCATTGTTAGGATGTTGTTGTTGTATATCATGGAGTCGATTCTGACTCATAGTGACCCCGTATAGAGTTTCTGAGGCTGTAAATCTTTATGGGAGCAGAAAGCCTCATCTTTCTCCCGCAGAGCAACTGGTAGTTTCGAACTGCTGACCTTGAGGTTAGCAGCCCAACTCGTAACCACTACACTACCAGAGTTGTTGTTGTTGTTGTTAAGTGCCGTTGAGACGATTCCAACCCATAGCAACCCTGTATAGGGTTTCCAAGGAGCAGCTGGTGAGCTTGAACCACCGACCTTGCAGTTCGAATGACTTTGTAGGCTGATGCATTAGCCCACAGCGCCACACCAGGACTCCTTAAATAATCAACCATGTGAGATCAAAAGAGCAGCACTGACCCAAAGACAAAGTTCCTTCAGGGTTAGGAAAGAAGGAGGAATGGAAACAGGAAACACAGGGAGGAAGTGGGATGAGGAATGTTACATGGTGGGATTGCAGTCAATGACATGAAACTAAATGTGAATTGTTGGATGGAAAACTGACGAGCTGCTCTGTAAACCTACACCCGATTCAAAATACAAAGTGAAAGAAAAATAAAGTTCATAGAAATAGTCTATTATCCTTTCATTGTATTTTTCCATGAATTTTGTGAAGCCCTCTCTCTCATATGTTCACCCTGAGGTGCCACTGCTGCTGTCCTTAACCAGGGACCAGACAGTGGTGTGCACTTTGGTCCACATCAGCATGACGTAGCCCACTCTGTGTCCTGAAGCATGAGGCATTCCTGCTAGTAGCCCTGTCTGAGTACCACCAGAGGGTCGGCCGTGGCAGCTACTGAGGCCAGCATGGTGGCTGGCCTGGGACTGTGGACAGCTCTGAGCAGAGCCACAGTGCCACCCACCTACAGCCAGTCCCTTGCCTGGAAGAACAGAGCCTAAAGCAAGCTCCCTGCACCCCTGCAATACTGGCCCAGGGGCCAGGTAGTTCTTTATGGTTGGGACCACCCTGTGCCCAGAAGGATGCTTCTCAGCAGTGTCGCTGGCCTCTACCCTGCAAACACAGCACCTTCCCTCCAAGTTGCGACAACCAAAATGTCTCCAGATAATGTCCAGGAGGACAGAGTCACTGCTAGTTAAGCGCTCTGTCCCACAGCAAGCTCCCTGTGAAGATGAATGGATGAGCAAACCACCTACTCAGCTTGTTACATAGCAGAATCACACTGGGAGCACCCAGCATCCACTCTCACCAGTCATGCTGGACGGGGTGGGTCACCTCCCAGCCGTAGTGGTGGGCATCTTGGATCTGGGCCCCCAGCAGGGCTGCCTGGTGCATCAGCTTCTTGGGGATGCAGCCGACGTTGACACAGGTACCACCGAGGCCCCATTTGGTGCCTGGACATAGAAAAGGACATGGCTAAGCTAGGCAGGCTGCTGGACAGCCATAGCCAATGACTGGTGGGATGCATGCAGGGACATCGGGGGCTTGCCTGGCCTTCTTGATTTGTTTGGAATTCCCTTAAGTTGTTGTATCTGAAATACAACCTGGGGAACCTTTGCTACATGGATTTGCTCTCAATGACAGTATTCAGAGTCGTCTGAAAAATCAGAATCCTGAAGAAACATTGCAGTGACAGCAGCTTTCACATAAAACCCTCTGGAGACTCTGGGCTGTTGGGAGGAATGTGTCAACTGAACTTTGTACATGACCCAGGCCCCCCCTCTCCCTGGACCCACCACTTTAGGCTACCTGCCCTCAAAGGGCTGCCTACCTTGAGGGGAAGGTTCCACATAATCAACCACAGCTACCTTCTTTCCCAACTGAGCGGCTGGAATGAAAAGAGAAGGCTGGTAAGCACACAGTGGGCAGGAGATGAAGGAAGGGGCTGGCAAGGCTTCCCGAACAGCAGCTGAGCTAAGCAACACTGGCAAATGCTCCTCAGCTTCAGTGTCCAGGTCAATCCACCATCCACAATTGTGGCTGTCCACAGGGGGCACCCTCAGTCCTTTTCTCTGACTACAACCTTCACACTGGCCTTCCTGGGCACTGCCTCTACAGCAGTGTTGGGGCCAGCCCTCCCTTGTCTCCTGCCCCAACTGGTCCCAGGGCCAGACATTTGTCCTGAGCCCACTAGGCAGCATCCTAGGAGCAGGCCACTCACCAGAGGTCCCTGTTGTGCCTGCCCCCACTTCCCACAGTCCTGAGAAACCAGAAACTCAGCTCTTCTCCTCCCAGCCAGTGAGAATTAATGCCCCTGTCCACACTCATCAGTGCCTTCCATGGTGAGCATTGAATGCCCTCCTCCCTCTCTGGGTGAGGAAGCTAAGGTCGGGCAGAAGTGCAGTGGCCAGTCCAGAGGTGGAGTCAAAACTCAGATTCCAAACTGCATTCCCAGCCAAGGTGACTCCTGGCCTCCCTCCAGCAGCAGGACCACAGAGCACAGGTATCAGGGCTGGCTTTGACACCAATTAGTCAGGGGCCCGTCCCATGGACTCCACATGGAGGGTGACTGAGCTTCAGACGTCATGGATCCTTAGGGCATGAAAGCTACCAAACTCATGTCCATGTTAGAAACCAAGACGAGAAGAACCTTTTCAAAGTGTTCATCCTACAAACCAGTCTGCGGAAAAAGTCTGGAAGGATGGAGGCACAAACAGACCACCGTTCCAAATACAAGAAAGATAAAAGGAAAATGGAGCTCAGCTTTGAGGGACTCTGAATTGAGGAGCAGAGGAAAGCAGCAGGCAACAATGAGTCTCACACAACCCACCATCCCTGCCCCTCTTCCCAGTGGGCTGCTGTGAACTGGGAAAGTGGCCCCAGAAAAAAAGCCTGTTTCCTAACCACCACACCCTGTCTGTACAAAGAGACAGCACCCCAAGCTTCTGCTCTAAACAAGTCAGACCTCCCCAAGGTTGCATTTGGAGTGTGCCAGTAGTACCTCCCCTGCCCGGCACTGTCGTCTGCAAGCTTACTAGGAATTACAACTGAATGCCTGTGGTGTGGAGTCTGTTCTTGTAGTCAGCACCCTACCAGCCTGTTCCCCCTTCCAGGTGGCACTGAGGATGGCTGTATGGGGCTGGTGTGCAAGCATCTTGAGTGGAGGCTGCATTCACAGTCAACAATCTACCAGGGAGGCACTGACAGCAACAGGGCAGACCCCCATGGGAGACACCCCCACCCCCACCTGGTAACTTGGCTGTTGGACTGATATGAACTTTACAGAGGTCCTGTACAGTGGAGCCTAGAGAAAGATCATCTAAAGAGAGACTGCCATGTCCCACCCCTGTCCACAACCATCCCAGGGCCACGGAGGTTCTGAAACCAACAAGACCAATCTCTTGGAGGTTCTTCTGGGAAGTGCCAGCCCCTTTTCCTTCCAAAACAGAAGAACGTCTGCTTTGCTTCTACTGAATGTCAGTTAAAATAAAAGCAGCTCCCACAGAGCAGGGAAGGAAATCTTAGGTAAAACTGGAGGGCAACACCAAACCTTCAAAAAGGTTCACAGAGTAGTGTTCTCTGAAAGAAAATGTGGTCACAGAAACAAAGGGAAGGGAATAATAACCACATAGAGAGACTGAGCCCCCTGGTGGACAGATTGATTAGTACCCAATACCTCATCAGAGGTATTTTAAGCTCACCAGCTGCTCCTTGTAAAACCTACACAGGGTCGGTATGGGTCGGAATTGACTTGACAGCACTTACCAACAACCAACAACAAACTTATCAGAGTGGCAGTGCCAGTGTATTTTCTATGTGTTTGGGAGAGACTGAAAGTTAAAAACTGAGATTTGGAACTTTTAAATCTTAAAAACCAGGGAGGGGAAAAGAGCTATCATAGAGAGAGAGAGGGAGGAAACAGTAAACAAAGACTGAAGGCTCTGCCTACCCAAGAGTTCTTTGCAGAAAAAAGTGTGGGCTAAACCACTAAATTCTGGGGAGAACTGAGAAAATTAACACCTTCAAAAATTCCAGTATCCCAACAAAAAATCAAAAGAACAGAGAAACAATGACCCATCCAAATAAACATGACAAAAGGAATAAAAGTGCATTTAAGGATACTAAATAATGAAAAAAAATGGAAGAATATAGTATAACAATGTTACACATAATTCAAGATCAAGGGAAAGCATAGAAAAAAAGCTTGGAGTAATGTAAAAACAAAACAAGAATCTAGAAAAAGGGATATTGAAACTGAAAGGGATAATAACCGAAATGAGAAAAATACAGAAGGACTTACCAACACATTAAATTAGGCAGAAGCAAAACTCAGTGACTAAGAGTCCTGATGTGGTGCTGTGGAATGATGTACTGGACTTCAAAGTCAGTTTGAGTTGCAAGGTCAGTGGTTCAAGCTCACCAGCCTCTTCTTGGAAACCCTATACAGGGTCACTTATGGGTTGGAACCAACTTGACGACACTTAACAACAACAGCATAGTTAAAAATATAGAGTAGGAGGAGCAACAAAAAGGAGGCTCAAGAAGATTGAGCATGGTTTAGTGGAAGAATGGGACAAGAAGCCTAACACACACAGTGTAGGAATTCTAGAAGGAGATGAAAGAGAAAGGAACAGAAAGCATATTTGAAGAAATGATGACAGAAAATTTCTCCAATCTGGTGATGGACATGAATCTACGAATTCATGAAGGTCAAAGAACCCCAAGCATGATAAACACAAAGAGATATACAACAAGACACATCATAGTTGTTGTTGTTGTTGTTAAGTACCGTAGAGTCAGTTCCAGCTCATGGCAATCCTGTTATAGGGTTTCCGAGGAGTAGCTGATGAGTTTGAACCGCTGACCCTGCAGTTCAAACCTATCTTGAAGTCTAGTGCGTTATCCTGCAGTGCCACACCAGGACTCCACGTCAAAGTTAGGCTCTCAAAAAATAAAGATAAAGAGAATCCTGTAAGCAGTTATATACAAATAGTTACATACAAAGGATCCCCAATAAAACTAAGTGCTGACTTCTCCTTAGAAATACTGGAGGCCAGAAAACCATGGAATGATATATTTTAACTGCTGAATGAAACAAAAACTGCCAACCAAAAATACCCAGAGGGAGAGGAATAGCCACAAACATCACCAGAGAAAACTTGTAAGTCCATCTTCAGTCTATAACTGATTGTAATACCTAAAATGGGGCTAGAACTTGCCCAGTGAAGAAGGCTCCCAGCAGGGCCTTTGCATTGCACAAGAACATAGGTAGAATCCTGATCCCCATCCAGAATCTTCTGAGGTGGGACATTTACACTTGAAAGGACAAGCAGATCAGTCTGGAGCAGCTAGAAGAACAGAAGATACTTCTTGAAAGAAAGACCAGAGGAACAAATCAAAAACAATAACAGCAGTCCAACTGACTACTACAAGAACAAGAAAGTTGTTCCTCAGGGAGCCATCAAGGGAATAGTCAGGTCCCCTCAAGGCAAACCCCTTTCCAAGACTGAAACTCAACTGGAATATACTAGTAGGTCCTGCTGCTGACCATGTTGGTCACCGATAAGGGGAAGTGGGGGAAAAACAGCAATGAAGTTGTGAACTAAGTCTGACCACATTCAACAGACTCCTGTTAACCTGGATTGAGACCTGGTTAACCAGCAGTATGATGAGACCTGGGGACTCCTGGGCCCAGGGGCAGGGACATGGCCCCAGAGGACTAGAATGGAATGTGAAGCATCCAGCTAATATAAAGTTATAAGATGGGGTTATGCACAAGAACATCCACACTTGCAGACAGTACCCATTTGATCTAGCATCAATGGCTGGATGATCAGAACATGACTAGAGGAAGAAAGAAGAGGAACAAAAAAATGAAAAGAAAGAGTAACCCACTACAAGTGGATGAACTTGACCTATGCTTGTGGTTGCAGTATGACAAAGGAGCAGACAAATCTCTACATTGAGGATCAGTCCCATCTCCTTGGTACACAGGGTCGACAGGGATGGGGAACTTAGACATTAGCTACCCAAAATGGGGGGGTGGGGAGGGTGGACTACAAAGGCAAGAAGTGACTGGCTCACAAGCTTTCAATAGGGAACCTAGCTCCACAGGATACAGGGAAAGGTAGAATCTCTACTGAATTGTTTCCAACCTGTCTGGATGGGGTTGACAAAAGATGAGTGTTGGAAAGGTAAATGTAAATGTTTGGTAACAAAAGGAGGAGAGTGGCTGATTTTGCAGTCCAGGAGCAGAGATCTCTGTAACCACCAAGGGAGGGAGAATAGCAAAGTATATGCGGGGACCCTGTCTGGGTAGGCAGTGACACCAGGGATGGAGGCAGAGATGATGATGTGGACAGAAGGAGTGGTTGGGGACTCTGGACTCAGGGAGGAAGAGGGGCTGTAGGCTGGTGGCCGAGGGGCAGGCATGTGGGGTGTACCCTTTGGTTGTTTGATGATGCATGCAGGGGATTGTGATCATTGCAATGAAACAAAATACGATAGAATGAATGTAAAGATAATGTTCTCCCATGCAAACTAACACATAATTCACAACAAAAACTTAATAATAATAATTAAAAAAAAAAAAAAAAAACAGAGAAACTATCCTTCAAGAATAAGGATGAAATTAAAACATTCCAGATAAAGAAAATCTGGGGGAGTTCATATTGCCCACAAAAAAATTACTGATGGGAGTTCTATAGATGAAGGGAAAAAACACTAGAGATTAATTCAAGGCTATTCACAAAAAAGACAGATCCCTAACAAGAACAAAAAATGCATGGACAATACAAGGGGGCTTCAAAATAGTTCATGGAATAATTTCATTATCCTTAAAATCCATTTCCCCTGGAAAAAGACATTATGCTTGGTAAAGTGGTGGGT